GTCGTAGTGGGTGTGCCGTGGAACCGGCGGTCGTGTGAAATGAAAATCGTGTCGAAAAAAAAAATCGGTTAAAAAAAACAAAACAAAAACAAAAACAACAAAAACCGCCCCTCATTTTTTGGATTTTAGGGACGGCGGATGACGGCAAACAAACAGGTTTTTTAAGATAAATAAATAAATAAATAAATAAATAAATAAATAAATAAATAAATAAATAAATAAATAAATAAATAAATAAATAAATAAATGAATGAATGAATGAATGAATGAATGAATGAATGAATGAATGAATGAATGAATGAATGAATAAATAAACAAACAAATAAATAAATAAATAAATAAATGGATGGATGGATGGATGGAGGAATGGATGGATAGATGAATGAATGAATGGATGAATAAATAAATAAATTAATTAATTAATTATTAATAGTGATAATTATAGTAATAACAATAATATAATATTAATAAAAATTATTATAAGAAGAAGAAGAAGAAAAGGAAGAAGAAGAAGAAGAGGAGGAGGAAAATAAATAAGAAAAGGAATGAGAATATCTCATCTTTAGCATTCTCTCCAAATAAGCTTGCCAAATATTATATATCTATTGCTCAATCCTATAAAATGAAAATTAAACTAACTTCACCATGACCTTATGTTTCTTGTAGGCTTGTCATTCTCATATATCAGTTACATTATTCTGAAAAGACCAATATTTAAAAAATAATGATCATGAGAAACATTACTTGACTTAATTAAACATGGAATTGCTACACGCCGATTATATGCTCCATGGACAATAATAGCCTGACTGATTAGGAAACAGCGCCCCAAGAAAATCGCAGAGCACCAATCAATAAATCCCAACTTGTACAGAGATTGAATAGCCTCAAGATTAGAAAGATATAAAACTCTTCAATATCTAAATTGATCAACTGTATTGTCTCTTGAGAACTTCGAACCAGAACTCCTTTTGTTCTGATTCACAATTCAGGCAATTGATACGTGTACGGAAAGAGTACAACATAATTATTCTCTGGATTTCAACAAATTAAAGAAAACTTGATGACGTCAAAGGAATGATAGTAAACACGATATTATTGATATTATTGATATCACTGCCACCATGTAAGGTCCATATTGAAATAAATTATTTGCCGTTTGCAGTGACTTGAGCAAACCATATTTTACTAAAACCATATAAAGAATTTATTTCCTGCGTCCAGCACACTTTCCCTTGCTGGGCGTTTTTAAATTGAAAACTGTCGTACGTACCGAAAGCATAATGATAGGCCCAGATAAAAATAATAATAATAGGCCAATACTTAGGCCTAATATTACTACGAGTAATTCTAGTCGGTAAAAGGAGTTTCTGCCAAGTTTACAGTGCACTGCCAGGGTTGGGGGTGTCTTCGAAGAGCATAATGGCAGCATTGTAAAATCAGTCTTATGTCTGCACTCTCAATCATCGTCCTATTATATACTATAAACTAAAAAGTTCATGGAATCAAATATTCTAAAATAAATGTGAGTGGGAAGGTGACAAACATCGTTATAGGGCTATTTGCTGGAGAATTTTGCTGAGTCTTCAATTACACAACATACTGAAACGTCAACTGTAGCCCATTGAAGTAACACCTTTCAACCTGTTAAAGACATCCTCGTCGACTGTACACAATAATTTTTCTTTTACAAATGGTTGCATTTAAAACTCATATGTGAATGTAAACAGAGAGTAGATTTATGTAAAGTTTTAGACCAATGAATGTGTAACTAAAAGAAAGCTAATGTTAATCACCTGCAAATCGGACGTGACTGAAGGTACAGTTTGAGGTGATTTTTTTGGCATCTTCCATTCTCTCACATATGTCAGTTATAAATAAGCTTGCCAAATATTATATATCTATTGCTCAATCCTATAAAAATGAAAATTAAACTAACTTCACCATGACCTTATGTTTCTTGTAGGCTTGTCATTCTCAAATATCAGTTACATTATTCTGAAAAGACCAATATTTAAAAAATAATGATCATGAGAAACATTACTTGACTTAATTAAACATGGAATTGCTACACGCCGATTATATGCTCCATGGACAATAATAGCCTGACTGATTAGGAAACAGCGCCCCGAGAAAATCGCAGAGCACCAATCAATAAATCCCAACTCGTACAGAGATTGAATAGCCTCAAGATTAGAAAGATATAAAACTCTTCAATATCTAAATTGATCAACTGTATTGTCTCTTGAGGACTTCGAACCAGAACTCCTTTTGTTCTGATTCACAATTCAGGCAATTGATACGTGTACGGAAAGAGTACAACATAATTATTCTCTGGATTTCAACAAATTAAAGAAAACTTGATGACGTCAAAGGAATAATAGTAAACACGATATTATTGATATTATTGATATCACTGCCACCATGTAATGTCCATGTCAAAAACGTCAGCCTCAATTTTATTGCTTATTTTGCTTTTACTGCTTAGCACTGGAAACACAAATAAGGTATAATTTAAATAGATAATAATATAGTGCTCAAATATAAATGTACTTATGTATTTATGTATGTGTGTATGTATGTATGTATGTATATGCCTTACAAGTACGTCAATGAAGATATATGTGAGTCCATTTCCCTCATTGAACATACCAAGTCCTATTTTTAATAAACACACTAATTTGAAATATTTTAGAGTATACATAAATAATATACACAAAGATTCTGTTTAAAATCGGATAGAAACTGAAAGCGATCTCTGGCTAAATATTGAAATAAATTATTTGCCGTTTGCAGTGACTTGAGCAAACCATATTTTACTAAAACCATATAAAGAATTTATTTCCTGCGTCCAGCACACTTTCCCTTGCTGGGCGTTTTTAAATTGAAAACTGTCGTACGTACCGAAAGCATAATGATAGGCCCAGATAAAAATAATAATAATAGGCCAATACTTAGGCCTAATATTACTACGAGTAATTCTAGTCGGTAAAAGGAGTTTCTGCCAAGTTTACAGTGCACTGCCAGGGTTGGGGCTGTCTTCGAAGAGCATAATGGCAGCATTGTAAAATCAGTCTTATGTCTGCACTCTCAATCATCGTCCTATTATATACTATAAACTAAAAAGTTCATGGAATCAAATATTCTAAAATAAATGTGAGTGGGAAGGTGACAAACATCGTTATAGGGCTATTTGCTGGAGAATTTTGCTGAGTCTTCAATTACACAACATACTGAAACGTCAACTGTAGCCCATTGAAGTAACACCTTTCAACCTGTTAAAGACATCCTCGTCGACTGTACACAATAATTTTTCTTTTACAAATGGTTACATTTAAAACTCATATGTGAATGTAAACAGAGAGTAGATTTATGTAAAGTTTTAGACTGATGAATGTGTAACTAAAAGAAAGCTAATGTTAATCACCTGCAAATCTGACGTGACTGAAGGTACAGTTTGATGTGATTTTTTTTTTTGGCATCTTCCATTCTCTCACATATGCCAGTTATAAAAAATTTAAGAAAGGGTGAAAGAAATTATCGCACACTTGAAACGATTCAATGATTACATGGAGTGATCTTACAATTAGTGATTGTTTTGACATCCTCTCTATTTAGTCTTTCACTTAAGTCAGTTATAAAAAGTTTAGGAAGAAAGGTTGAAAGTAATATTCGCTCTTGGACCCTGACGACACATTTAAATGAGTCATCGAACCCATGGTGTGATCTTACAACAGCATTTACATGCGACAATTAAAGCTCAATACATTAGTATACACATTTCAAGTAATGCCGAATATTTTTTGTTTCGAGGAAAGTGCTTTATGCGTTATCAGGACAAAGACCATTTGAACATTTATAAACGCATATTATATCCTTCCTCTTCTACGAGACAGATATTTATCTATGGCACTATCATAATATTTAAAACGTTATCAATTCTTCTTCTTTGAGACGATTCCCTCGGTTTCTGCCCAGGACATTATACTATGGCATGATAAAATATAAATGAAATATTTACATACCGTCAAACCTCGAATAGAAGTCCAATGGGTTCTCTCGAGAAGAAGCCGACCTTGAATTGAAGCTCCTCTTTAGTTTGCAAGAGTCGCTTTTCGAAATAAGAAGCCCGTGATGCACATGACTTTCAAACAAATAAATTAAAAACACGCTTGGTTTATACAGTAGTTTAGGTGATTTAATGCCGGTTAATACACTCCATGACACAGACTGGTGTTACAGTGGTCCTAAAATTTACAGCATTCATTCTGAAAAGACGAACCCCCCCCCCAAAAAAAAAACTATTTACTTTGCCAAAGTAGCCTCGAAAAGACACCCATCCAAAGGTTGCAAGAACAGAAGCAGCCCATGACTTCTATTCGAGGTTTTACGGTATAGTGCCTACATATGCATATTAAACCTAATATCGCGAACATACAACCTACGGTTAATTTATAATTATTTTTTTCTAAATATTTTTTACGATAATCTGACCGCTCAAGTGACTTCATTGTATGAGGATAATAATGGTAAAGCACCAAAAGTGAAAGAAAAATAAAATTTTCAATTTTTTAAAATGCATGACTTTTTTTATATAGTTTTTTATATAGCAGTTGCAACTTTGTTGTCGAAAAGAAGTTCATAAATCTAAAACATATTTCAATAATAGGAGCAGACATATTTTTTATAATGTTTTTTTTTTGCGGAATATGTACATGAACTAAGTATAGTGATGTTTCATGTTGTTTGAGTTGCACCCCGATAATGGCAATTGATCCAGATGCAGATTAAGAACATGTCCAACCGTTATAGGAATAGGATGTATAGTACATAAATCATTAATATATGTAATTCTGAATTTAATTAATAATTACCGTATACCATTTTTAGAATATAATGGGGAGTAATTACCATTACTAGCACTGTGGAATGTAGAAGTATGTAGAAATGTATGTAGAAATGCTATGGTAAAGCAAAATATGCCATAAAAATCAACTTACGCGACACTGCTTGAGTTACTTGATCGCCACCCTCTTCGACTGTTTTGTCCGGTGGAAGGTTAGCAACTATAAAGTAAAAAACATACATACAAACTAAATCGAATTGATCAACACTAATTCAAAAACTGAAATTGAACGACGATTACAAAAACGATCTCTTCGCGAGAATGTAAATTAAAAAAGAAAACTCATTTTTTTTTAATTTCATGAATCCTAATAAGTATTGATTTGGGGTAAGTAGCGTGATCACACCAATTAACCTCTTAATTTGCATCATTAAAATATCGACCATCCATAAAAGCAGTTAAACGTATCCGATTAAACGCATTACCAATAACTGCATTTTTGTTCATCATTAAGGCAAAACTATAAGGTGAAAAGGTAAATTCTGAATAATGACGGATTACAGTTTTACGCCCATTTTGAATAATCACAATCGCTATTGATATGAGTATCGAAATGAAATCGTAGGCAGTTAAGGAGGGCAATTTTTTAAGACACTCACACTCTTACTGCTTTTTTTTTTGTGGGAACGGTAGGAGCATAGGATGGTGCAGCGGTTGGCGCAGTGGTTGCGCCTAAGTTTCCCAACCTCGAGGCTGGAGTTCAAACCTTCGCTGTGCATTTGGATTGTGTCCTTGAACAAGGCACTTTACCTACGTTTGTCACTCTCCACCATAGAGAATAATTGTGTACATGGTTGAAATTAAAAGGGTGGAGTGGAAAGGAACTGGTCACCCTACAGACAATGTCGAGGCTTAGTACGGTACTATGGGCTCCTAATAACAGCTCATTCACCAACATTCATTAATGAATATGGGACTACTTTTCTACCTTATTGTTTTTTTTAAAGGAATTACAACAGGTTTGCCGATTAATTAATCATCGTAGTTTTTAATTGAGTATGGTACGCTAAAAGATGTTGAGTGCAAAGGTTGTTGATAATTAATAAATCCCTGCTCATTGAATACAAGTCGCAGTGATGCAGTATCCAGGTACCACGCTCAGACCATTAATAAGACACATGGTTTGCTCTCCAAATGTCACAATATGGGTACTAAATCTACTAGATCCCACCCCTAAATCAAATTGAAAAATGCAAAAACAGTTTCCAGAGCCACCCAACTACTTTAGTAATTACGATTTGTGATGGGATCCGAACTCTAAGTTGAATTAAAAACATGAATGATACGGTATGATACTGTAAGTAAACAAACATTAATTAAGTTAGTACGTTCTAATCAAAAGCTGACCTTTGTATGTAATTAATGTTCTCGGTTGCAGTCATAAGATTGAATGGACCGTATTGTGTGCTAACGTTATTACGGACTATAAGAGCGTGTGAAATTAATATGAAAGACTACTAATAATTCTCTTGTTACAACACGTGTTACTGTATATATTTTTGCTTCGAACATTGAATAGAGTTTGTACTATTCAGTAATATGTGGTCGTTCCTAAAAAAATCATTACTGTCTAATGTATATAGTCAATTATAAAGATATAATTATCATTTATTAAAATACATAGTATTTTAGTGAGGCCAATAATAATAGAATGAATATAGACTTATAAGATCACCTACATTTTTAATATGGTTATTAAAGTTGATCCGATGAACGGTTTTGACGAAAATGCTGCCTGTAACTACATTCGATTTTCAGTGTGAACCACTAACGATCGTCGTACGATACATTGCGTACCGGCTTTAGTGTGAACCCAACCTTTACTACCTTTTTATCACGAAAAAACCTTTCTCAATTCTATATGCAATGAAAACTTGATTTAATCAGAAAAAGGGGTTAAAATGTATATACATCCTACGTTCTTCAGGCCCGTAGCCAGGGGGGTTTCTATGGTTCGGGCGAACCCCCTTTTCTAGCGAACCCCCTCGAATTTTTGAATGAGTCCCACCCGTTTTTAAATTGTAGCCTGTGATAAAAGCCTACATTCATAGAATATCTCAGCTTCAGAAGTTCGGAGATTTAAATTAAAACGCAATTCCAGCAAACCATGACTTTACAATGGCACACATAAGGATGGCAAACATCGATAAAAACCCGGCTGCCGTCTCAACTTACACTGGCCTTTGGCTGAATGTTTGTGAGAAACGTACCAACCGGTAACGAAACCGGTCGCCGTCTACCTAGAGTAAATGCTGTCTCTTATACACATCTAGATGTGTATAAGAGACAGATTTTGCTTTTACTGCTTAGCACTGGAAACACAAATAAGGTATAATTTAAATAGATAATAATATAGTGCTCAAATATAAATGTACTTATGTATTTATGTATGTGTGTATGTATGTATGTATGTATATGCCTTACAAGTACGTCAATGAAGATATATGTGAGTCCATTTCCCTCATTGAACATACCAAGTCCTATTTTTAATAAACACACTAATTTGAAATATTTTAGAGTATACATAAATAATATACACAAAGATTCTGTTTAAAATCGGATAGAAACTGAAAGCGATCTCTGGCTAAATATTGAAATAAATTATTTGCCGTTTGCAGTGACTTGAGCAAACCATATTTTACTAAAACCATATAAAGAATTTATTTCCTGCGTCCAGCACACTTTCCCTTGCTGGGCGTTTTTAAATTGAAAACTGTCGTACGTACCGAAAGCATAATGATAGGCCCAGATAAAAATAATAATAATAGGCCAATACTTAGGCCTAATATTACTACGAGTAATTCTAGTCGGTAAAAGGAGTTTCTGCCAAGTTTACAGTGCACTGCCAGGGTTGGGGGTGTCTTCGAAGAGCATAATGGCAGCATTGTAAAATCAGTCTTATGTCTGCACTCTCAATCATCGTCCTATTATATACTATAAACTAAAAAGTTCATGGAATCAAATATTCTAAAATAAATGTGAGTGGGAAGGTGACAAACATCGTTATAGGGCTATTTGCTGGAGAATTTTGCTGAGTCTTCAATTACACAACATACTGAAACGTCAACTGTAGCCCATTGAAGTAACACCTTTCAACCTGTTAAAGACATCCTCGCGAAGAAGAAAACGACAGATAGTCCTGGTGGGTTATTGATTTTAAAATCAATTAGCCTAGCCTAGATGTTGACTAGCTAGGTTCGCTCCTTGTTCATTTAGATACAGAATTATACCCCGACGACAACAAA